AGATAGATAAGTTTTTCCATGATGTTTTATTGGGCAATTTTATTTTCAAATGGAATAAATATGTACACATTTTTACAAGTAAATATTATATATAGCTACCTGATACTGGTATGTTATCTTTTCATAAAAAGATTTTTCATAAAAATATTTAAATGCCAGGTACCTTATTTATTTATTAGAAAATGTCAATACTGTTGAATACCGGTACTACTTCAGTTGTTTGTTTCATATTTAAATGTATGTACAACTTCATTAGGGGTAACCCCGACTAGGGCCTTCCATGTCATGTGAGACTTGTAATTACTATACATTAATAATTTATGCTGCAAAGATTCTGGACTTTGAGCTTCCAATTCAGTGCAGTCAATTATTATTCTAGTATTGGAGAAATAATTCTTAAAATTTTGTGGCAAAGTGTTTGCTATCTGCTCTTTTGTAGGCCAATAAATAAGACAAGACAATTTGCTGTAGAGCAAACAGACCCACTTTGAAAAAGCCCTAGAAGCTGTTGCTTTTGAAATGCTGAATCTAAATGCCAAGTCAAACATTGGCAACCCCATTTTCAGTCTAATAAGTGTTAGTAAAAACTCATCAACTGGTCTCATAACCCTTTTCCTATCTTTAAGATTACCGAGATGAGACATACATTCATCAAAAATTGCATTAAAAACCGCAGCATTGGGATACTAGTGTATAACCTAAATACCTCCTTTAATAAATGTTCTGGCCTTAAAGGTGCATAAAAGCCATAGTCTTCTGTTTGCATACTTACATTGTATGTTAAAACATCAGTTTGCATTGACACATCTAATTTATTTATGTGTGATTGTGTTTCAGCATTAGATATGTACTGACAAAAAGTTTTAGTATCTATTTTACCACAATAATCATGTAACATAACAGATACTCCTTGTATTGTTGATATAGCCTGATTAATAAAAAAAGTTTCTTTTTGAGTTGCCTTCTCTGCTGTTGCCTCTTCGACATGCTGAGTCTGTGAACATTAAAGAAAATGTCAATACTTTTGAATACCGGTGCTACTTCAATGTGTTTGATTTATAAAATTTCAATTCTATTTCAAAGTTAAATAAAATCCATGAATGTTCATATTGTCTTATTAAAATATCAATTCTATTTCAATGTGTTCTCTCAAATAAAATTCATGAATGTTCATATTGTCAAATTAAGTTACACAACGTTCTGCATTAATTAAAAAAATATTTAAACTTGCAACCAAATGAATTTTTTTTTTTTTTTTAAACTTACATGTACTGTTGTTTTGTATGTTCGGTTAGCAAACACCGAAGGTATGTCATCACCAGGCTAGGGTCCTTTTTTCCATAGAAAATGCTCTGAACACACTCTTGTGTTGCCTAAAACAGAAATGAGACTGCATAGTATGAGTATGGTATATTTTAACCTATGCCTATTACTACTATTGGGTTCCTGAAAATTTAATATACATTATACTATAGTTTTCAACTCTCATACACTATACCAGCTTAACTTGATAGTTTCATTAATATATATACAAATAGGCTGCCTATATATAATACTTTTTTTTTTTAGTTGCTTAAAATTAAAACAAAAGTGCTTACACTTATCACTTACCTCTTCCTTTAAGTTGCCCTGGTTTTAAATCTTTGCGAACAAGCTGTAATCTAGAACACCAAATTCTTGAAAGTGTTTTTGCTCTAGGGATTCGATGCATAGTAACTTTTCTACCTTCAACGATTTTTACCAGCGTAATTGGAGCACACAATACAATAATTTTTGTTACCAGTCATATTTGTTTTCTTTGTGTTTGAATACCGACTTAGTAACACTAACAACAGTTATTTTAGTCTAAAATAGACACATTAAATCATAATTGACGAAGTCTAGTAAAATGGGGAAACAAAAGAACTGTGGTATTAATGGTAATATATGCCTATTCCATAGTTATACATTTAATTAGTAAGATAGTATATGCAACTTTTGTAACCAAACTAAGAGTTAGACAACATAAAGCAACACTGTTGGAAACCGGAACCAACCCATTCAGAAAAAGTGGGCGTTTTCAAAGGGCACGCTACTCTGTTTTACAAAAATTTGAACGTAGCCCAATGACTATTCGCACTCGGAGTGGCTCCGTACAGATGAAATAGCTTCGGAGCCGGGTGTGATAACACTAATAGTATGAGAATTATTTTTTTAAATTGTTTTTTCTCCTTGTTATTTCATAGATTCATAGTTTTATTCTTTTTAGTTGTTTTTTTTTTATTTTTGCTTTATTAATTTCTCTTAGGACGTGTAGATTTTTTTTCTTTCTTATTTTCTTTTTTAGTTTAAGCCATTTTCGTAGATCATTTTTTTTTTAAAAATCTAGTAATGAAGATGATTTAGATACATTGATTGTTTTCATTTGAATTTTAGAAATGTAATAATATTAATTTAATTATTAAAATTAAATCCTTTATTTAAGATTATTTATGTGTAT